ATAGGCTGAGGGAAGGCAGAGCCCAGAGAAGGTTTGGAGACTCCAGTGTGGGGAGGGGCGAGGTGTCCCAGGAGTAATAATCAGCTCACGATCCAGAACCTTCTGGGTGCCGGGCTCCTTTGAAGCTCATCGTGCGCATTGATGTGCATCATCTTCACGAGCACCATATGGGGCGGGTAGCTGTAGCGACCTCACTTTACCGATGGGCAAAGCTGGGAGTGCAGAGAAGTTAATGACTCCCCTGAGGTCACACAGCTAGTAGGTGGTGAAGCCGGAATCTGAACCGAGGCAGTTGGCTTGGGAGTCCTGCTGTGACCACTGTCCCGTCCGGCCGCTCTGGTGGCTGCTCCCAGAAAAGGTCAATGAATACTGGTCTAAGGTGCGGGCCACTGGGGACACAGAGATGCGAGGCCATTCTGGAAAGGATCTCTGTGGGATACAGTGGCTGTTAGGATGTGGAGGGAGGGTGGGGCTGTCCGGTCAGCGTTGGGGGCCCAGGCAGGAGGCAGAGCTGTGGAGAAGCCCGCTGGCTCCCTCTCCCACGCCTTCCCGCTGGGCTCAGTCAGGCAGGCGCTCCACCTGGGGCCCCTGATGCCAAGGAGGGACTCGGGGTGTGGGGACTAGAGGACTGGCTTCCTGCTAGGCTGTTCCTGTGGTCTTGGCCGTGTCTCCGGCTGCCCCTCGTACCCTGGTCCCTGCCTGTCACCCAAGGCATGTTCCCGGCCTCTCCATCCATTGTATGAACTACTGAATTTCCTTCCAAAATAAACCTTTTCGGTTTTCAGCGGCCTGGAGTCCGTTTCTATTGTGGAAGCCAGAGGCTGGCCTGCGGGGGAGCTCTCCTTGAACAGGTCAGCTGTGAAGTGCTTGGGGAAAGGTTGAGAAGTTGCACGTTCAGGGCCCGGCTTGGGCAGGGCTCTGAGATAGCAGCCTGGAGGTGGGGCCAGGAACGCGGTTGGAGGCCCTGGAGCCCATCCGGCAGAAGGCAGAGCCGCCTTGCAAGCAGTGCCTGCGGGGAGGGGGAGCCAGGCGGGCATCCAGGAAGGAGGGGACCAGGGAGGCAAAATGCCGGCTTTGGGCTGGCTTCCTAGGACCTTAGTCATCCCAGAGGAACCCTCCGCCGTTTAAGCAAGAGCCAAGAACGATTCCCGTGTCCTGCTGTGGGCCACCTGCCCATTCCCAAAGCCATCCCTGTGCCTGGGCACTGCCGTGCTGGGTGAGGCTCAGGACACTGGATCACTCCCGGACCTGGAGGCGGGCTGGGGGTGAGCAGTCCTACAGGAGAGCTGGGCTTCTGCCCCTGGGAGCAGCACAGGATAGAAGCGGGGTAGGCAAGCAGGTGTCCGTTAGGAGAGCTTGGTGGGTACGAGGCTTTCAGAGTGCAGGGAGGGACTGTTTCCAGATGGAGAAACGTGGGCCCAGTTGTAGATAAAGAGGAGAGAACCAGTGGGCCCCCCACCCCCCATTCAGGGAGCCTGGAGATGCATAGGGGGAACTGAGGAAGGAGGCCCCAGGAGGAACATGTGGGGATAGCTTTCAAGACAGAGGGTGGGAGTCCAGGTTGGTGAGGGGCACGGCTGTGTTTCAGAGGAGGGGGGGAGGGGAAGAGTGTGGGAGGGAGGGGCGGAGGCACCTGTCCCCCGGCCACCTGCTTCTCCGGGCCTCACCTGGGCTGAGAGCTTGGGCTTCGGAGGCAGACGGCAAGCTGGGGTCCCAGTTCTGTGACTGCACTAGGTCACTCCCTAGGATGTGACCCTGGGCGCATCACATCTGTGCCTCGGTTTCCTCATTTATGAAATACCAAAGGGTCATGGCGAGGGTTACGTGAGATGATGTACCGAGAAAACAGAGCGCGTGGAAAGCTGGAGAACCTGGCTCGTGAAGAGACCTCAGGACCAGACCAGCTGTTACTGTGGCAACTGTGACTTTACTGCAAAGGCCCCCAGTGACAGTGACGAAGTCCAGTCCACGCGGCTGCCGCTCCTGCCTCCTGACGTGGCCCCCCAGCCCCCCCCCGTAAGGTCCCCCTCAGACGGGGCTCCTCATCACCTGTCCCAGCTGGCCACTGCTGTTGGGCTGGGGGAAGGTGGGCGGCAGGGACCTCCCTGTCCACCCCCCACCCCCGGCGTCCCGGGCGTCCCAGTTCGGAGTGCTGGCGATCTCAGGTTTCCTTTGCGCTGTTCCCGGGGCCGGACCAAGGGCAGACCCGCCACGTTTTGTGTCGCAGGATGTCCAGTCCTGTCTGAGGACGCGGGCTTTGCCGCCGAGCCCTGGGGAAGCAGGGAGTGTCCTGTGAGGTGTGCCTTCCCGCTGCTGGGTGGTTTTCCTCCTTGGCACACACTCAGCCAATGGGCTCCCAGGAAGGGTTCTCTTGGCAGAAAGCTTGGGCCCAGCTTGAGAACCACCCTGCCCTGGGCGCGAGCGGCCAAGGGCATCATCGGGCAGGCAGAGGGGGAGGAGGGCTGAGCAGCCCCAGGTGGGGCTGGGTCCCTGGCGCAGGTTAGGGACAAGGCACCTCTCCAACTCTGGGCTACACTCAGTCACCGAGGACCCAGACTCGGGCCCGGAGGCCCCGAGGCCCTGGTCAGCCCCTGATCTGCCTTCTGTCCCTGCCATTGAGGAGGCCGAGGACACACCTGAGACCTCCCTCTGTCCCAGCCGCCTCTCCCCCGGCTCCCACGCGGGACTCTCCGCATGTAGACCGCAGCAGCAAATCCCTGCACGCCAGGAGACGCGCCTGGCTTCTCTGTAGGACTGGAGAAGGCGGGTGCCGGGAGAGAACAGCCTCTGACCCCAACCGGGGGCTGCCGTTTCCAGAGCAGGCACATCTAATCACAGTGACCAGAAGCGGGTGAGCGGTTGACTGGGAGAGGGGGGTGCGGATGGGGGTCTGACTGGAAGGGGCAGGAGCCGCTCTCTTGGGAGACTGAAGTGTTGTTTATCCGGACGGGGTGCTGGTCGCCTGGAGGATGTCGAAAGTCGCCGGCAACCTGGATCCTGAACACGTGTGAACGTTATTGCGCGTAAGTCGTGCTTTGCCAAAGGTGATACAAAATATAAGGAATAAAAAAAAAAAAAGAATAAAAACAAAAAACAAACAAACAAAAAACCCCAAATACAAGGAATAACGACAGGTTGACTGGACACCCCAGTTTGTGAGCCAGTGACAGCTCTGCGAGTGAAACGGCCCTGGGCCCCCGCGGGTGAGGGCACCGGGTGGGAGGCTGGTTGCCCAGGAGGGGCCCTTCTCACCCGGCTCACTCTGGGTGCCTCCCCACCCCCCCCCACCCCCCGGTCGCCACTAGGAGGACAGGGGCCCTTCCTCTGTTGCGCAGCCGCCCCGACCCTGGGGACCGCTGGCCGCCTGGTCGGGAGGCTCTTTCCCTGGGTGTTTCCCCACACAGGCCGCCCGGGTAGTGCAGGGTCTGTCCTGGGCTGTGTGTGTGGCTACCGGAGCACCTATAAAGTAAACACGACTGAGAAGGCCAGTGACCGCAGAAGACACAGATGAAATGAAAAAAAAAAAAAAAAATCAAAATAAACAAAACCTCCCAAACTCACCCCACGCCTCACACCGAAAAGCCCAGAGCCCCGAGCTGGGTGGGATAAAGAGCGGGCCTGTTTGGGTGATATTTATATAAAGGGCTTGGTTCCTCCCTCGGGCGAGTAAAGCGAGTTGTAAAATTTGAAGGCACATTTTAAAATTGTTTAAAATCCTCCAAATGTGTTTCCTGTCTGGCGCTGCGTATGGGGAGCTGGTAACCCGTGTGCCTGTGTGGCCCGGAGCGCGGGTTAACGAGGGAGTTTTGAGGCAGTGATGCGGAGGGGCCGGCCGACTCGGGCGGCCAGAGAAGGAGCCCGTTGTTGGCCCGGCATGTGTTCCCAGGGCTGGAATGTGCGGGAAGGGCCTCGGGACTTGGGAGGGTGGTGTAGTCTGGGAAATTAGCATCTTTGTAAAAGCCACCGTACTTATAAATCATCAGTTAAAGGCCCGTAGGGGTCATAATGCAGGTGTGTGATTTTTACTTCTGAAGCGAGCGGGCGTGATAATATTTGACAACACGTAATAATTAGGATACTGCGTGTACATTTGATAAGTTAGATGATGATTGGGATGACCCTCCTGCGTCATGGCTCCTTTCCACCTTTGCTGACACTTCCCTCTCTCAGTCTCTCTCTCTGCCTGGGCCACCGTCAAACTGAGACCTCCCGGTGGCTCAGCACCACCTCCCCACGTTGTGCATGAAGGACTCCCTCCGCT